TATCTCTATTATCTTATTTTATTTTATCCCCCCTTCCCCCTCCCCCCTTCCTTCTCCGTTGATCTTTTGTGGTTCACTCGGGTTCACTGTTCCAAAATTATTATTCGAGTCTTCTTCTCTTTCTTCTCCTCTCCTCCTCCTCCTCCTCCTCCTACTTCTTTTACCCTTATTCTCGCGTGACCATTCCCAGTTCTGTGACCATTCCCAGTTCTGTTTTTGTGGTTGACGTGATGTTCAAGGTTCCTATCGGTAACTACCCAGTAGTTTGGAACTAATCTATCTCTCTTTCTCTCTCTTCCTTCGTCCTCCGCCATGTCCCTGAAACCTTCCTCCTGAGCGTGCCCTACGTCCTACTCTCCGAAAGTATTTGACCCTCACTGAATTGGTTTGGTCTTGCTTCGTCTTGATTCTAATCGCGACGCCCAGCTCTTTCCCACGACCTCCTCGCCCTCCCCGCATCGCCCTATCGTCGACAATCAAACGTCTGCCGCTCGCCGTCTCCATTGCTCCACTTTTCTTATCGAACAGAAGGCTGGGAGTTCATCCGTTCTGCATCCCCTTCCACTTCGTCATGGACCAAGGGCATTCCCTGTCCTGGTCGGACATTCCTCCGTCCAACGACGATGATTTCACCAACTTCCTCGAGTTCGGAATGCAGTTTCCCGACGTGGACGCTCAACCTCAATCGGACCATCACGTCTCTCGTCCATTGATTCACGCTGCCACCATGTCTTTGCCCGTCTCGACCGCCGCTGCGCAAGAGCAATTGGTTAGCTTGGATACTGGCGGCATGACTGCGTCCGCTTCGTCGTACAGCCCCATGATCAACAACGATTTTGCCCTGGACCTTGCCCATCACGGACAACAAGGTCAGCCACGTGGCTCGTCCTTCTCGACCGCGCCAATGCCCCCGGCCTTTTATGCACATAAACCACCCATCTACCATCCTCATCAGCACCCACCAATGCCGGATCAGTCACACTCGGTATCGCAATCTACACAGTCCATGCCCCAATCCTTTGTCCCCCAAGGCAGACCGGTCATTCCTCCCACTCCGAATAGTGTCGAGTTTCATGGAAATGCTGCTACATTCCCGCAGCGGGCGGACGATACCCGCGAAGTTTACGAACGATTTAACCGTGTCAGCGATGAACAGGTAATCGCCTTGAATGAGAATGGATTGAAGCATCTTCGGAGAGCTAATGCATACGTCCGCTTCGCTCTAGGCTCTTTACACCCCGCTTGTCTCGCCAGCCATGACGCCGTTGGAAGCTCAGTTTCGTCTTCCTGAATACACGATTCCCGGAGAGTACTTCACCCCCCTCACTTCACCAGCTCTCGAGGCACAGCACACGAACTCAAGCAGCTATCCTTTCCATTCCAGCCAGGTGTCGGAGCTGGGGTTTGTCCCTTCACCTGTCGACAATCCCCTTACCATGGCGTCCAATCAGTCGTCCCCGGGGCTGATACGGAAACATCGCCGACAGCCGTCCAGCACCAAGTCCTTCTCGGCCCGTGCGAAAAAGCAGCAATCGCCCTCTGTTCGGCCACAAACACGCAAAAAGTCCTTGATGAGCCTCAATGCCGACGAGCTTTTGAATAGCCTCAATCAAGACCAGGTTGCGAATGCCACCCAAGCCTCCGGCGAGAGTGGACTTCTTTATGCCAGCAATGAGAGCTCCGGTCAAGATTCGGTCTCTCCAGAGCCTCTCTCTGAGCCCTTAATGCCCCCGCCTGCTTTGCCTCCCTCGCGGAGATCGCCGGCCGTTCGCCCTCAGCCAGTTCGACACTCAGAACCAAGTGAACCTGCGACGCCGGCAATGCTCATGCGCATTCAACGGTCGCCGCTTTCGACCAGTCAAACAGTCCCTCGATCAAACCCCACTATCTCGGAACCCCATGACGACGTAATGGAAGATGTGGTCCTCCCCGAGGCCGCAACTTCGCTGGCTCCTTTTACAAGACCGCAGGTGGCCCGTATTGAAACTACGGTGCAGGCAAACTCAACTTCGTCAGAAACCTCAGGAAGTACGACCCCAGCTCCGGAGCCGAAATCTGCTCCGGTCGTCAATCGAAACACCTCCTTGGCTCCCAGCCCTCGCTCAATTGCTATGCCTTCGCCGAGCGGCCCACTGCCCAAGAAAACGGACACACCCAAACTCGGTCCGATAGGGCGGAAGCGACAGAGCTTAAGTTCCTCGCAAGCTAGTCCCAGCCTGCGTCCCAAAATTAGTCCCAGCATCCAACCGCTAGTCCGTGGAGACGGTAAGTATCCCCCCGCCTCACCATCGATTTACGAGTCAGCTGATCGGATTCTGTTTCCAGCAATATCGAGCGAAACATCGGCTCTGTACTTGGCATCGAAGTCGAACTATCAGCACATTCTGGACGGCACCCTTTTGCCCGGCGTCTCCTATCCCGAGACCTTGGCAGAGAATCTCAGCTCGAAGCGGACCAACCACAAATTGGCCGAACAGGGACGAAGAAACCGCATCAACAACGCACTCAAGGAAATAGAGACACTCATTCCTCCGTCTTACATCCAAATGAAACATGCTAAGGAGGCTGCTGCTTGTCCCCTCAAGGGAGCCGACAAAGAAAAAGAAAAAGAAAAAGCGAATAATCAACCAATCAGCAAGGCCAGCACGGTGGAGATGGCAATCGATTACATCAAGAGCCTTCAGCAGGAGCTTGAAGAGACTAAGGGCAAGCTGAATGCCGCGGAGAGTCGTCTGCGAAACTCGGAAGCCAAGTCGAAGCAGGCCAACGCAACCGCAGGCGTGGAGAGTGGGCCGGAAGTACAATCTACAGCTGGAAGTAGTGATCGTGACTAATGAACAAAAGATTGGTTCTTCGCCTCAGGTAGATTTTGAGATTGTAAGCTGTATTTTCGGTAGCGGTCTCTGCCCCCCCACGATATGATATCCTGGAAGTTGCATACTACTACTGAACAGGAAAGGTATTTGACTAGAAGCGAAGTTTGTATTTACACCTACATATATGGTGTAGCTTGTGGGATGTGGCTTGTAGCCTTCTCCCAGGAATCTTGTTTTGTTATATGGTGTGGTGGATGTCTGATTCGGCGTACCCGGGTACATGTCTCGCTTACGGAAATAAAGGGGAATTACTGTATATAGGGCATATGAACTGGCATCGGTGGGTAGAAATACATTACGTATCACGGATGCGGTAGCCATTAAGGAGATAAGGTTGCTTGGAATCGCCCCTCATCAGTAGTCCCGCATGACTGCCACCATCTCGTCCAACCGGGTGATTTCGCCCAGCAGTAAAGCCTCCTTGCTTCTCCATTGCCCTAGTAGGGTGAGCTCCGCCGGAGACAGATACCGCTCTTCGTTCCCCTTGACGTCACTGCGCTCGGTCTTCTCCAGGAATTCCCTGAGTCGACTCCGCTCGAATCGTAAGCGCTGCATGCACCGAGACATAGCCTTGTAGGTGTCCTCCAATATGCTGTTACGGATACGGTCCGGATCGTAGAACCATAGGTAGATTGTACGTGACGGCTGCCGCTGAGCGTCGCGCGGGACTTCTTGCAAGTCGACGAATCCGCCGGATTGCATGCTGGCTAATACCTGTCGCAGGTCCTTGAAGGGAAGGAGGCTGATTTCCTGGAGGCGCTTCTCGTCAAGCTTGCCCTTGGCGTGGAGGACGCGGATCACTCGTAGAGCGACATCGCCGTAGCGAGCTTCGATAACACGTTCGAGTTCCAAATGACGCAGCTTACGCGCCAGGTGTCGGAACTCCACAGTCCAGGTGATAAGGCCGGATACGACCCGCTTCGAGGTCAAATTGTAGGGGGGTTGAGAGAGAAGGCTGAGATGCTGGTCAATCTCATAGGTTCGGCTAGGGGCGTCGAAGTCTTGATGGCTAGTCCCGTTGACTCCGTCTTCGTCTAAGGCTCTCTTTCCACGCTTGCTGACAGGCTGCTGGATTTCCATGGGGCCGATGGAGCCCGCCAGATCTAACTGCGGGTCGACCTCTTCCGTTACCGCACTCAGCGCAATCGCAACGGAGTATTGCTCGCCTTCTTCACCTTCGCGAGGGATTTCCACGCTGTCCCGACATTGCTTGGTCTGGTATTCAATGCGTCGCAGAAGACATTCGTAGACTTGGGCGGTGGCCGGCGATGCGTGCACCTCCGCAAGGTCGAGGAACCGTCGATTCCGCAGAGCAACGTCCAGTTTCTCGTAGTTGACTCGGACGACTATTCCAGACTAGATGGACACAGCACCGTTAGTCTCAGGAACGAGCATAAGTCAACCTGGGGAGCTCTTTACCTCCATGGGAGTCGCGTCCCCTCCCATGTCATCATCTGACCACTCATTCTCCTCCTCGGCCTCGTCCTCCATATCATAGTCCATCCGGGCGCTCTTGTCCGCAGACCCGCTGCCAGGCCTTCTCTTGGCACCACGCGGTAGGCCATTATGCATCAATCCACGGGTAAGATCTCCATCTAATTTTTCCCTCAGCATAGCAAGTGTGCCATCGAGAACCGTTTCCTCGAGCCGTTTGCCTTTCATCTGTTTGACGTCGGGCCGCGACTTAATTGCACGTTCAGCATCGAGCGCGTTGTCTGCATAACTTTGAAATTGCGCATCTCGGACACGGATCAGGTATCCATGGGAGGCCAATGCCTTCAATGTCGGATGAAGCAAAGCTGGCTGTTCGATGGGTCCATCCACGTTATGCCCATTCACTTGTTCCTCCGCCCCCTCTCCTTCGAGATCATCATTGATACCGTCCGCTTCCGATGGTCCAGATCTTAACTCGGGCAGTGTCTCGAGATGGCTGATTTGAGCATGGCCGAGGTACATGATGGTGGACATGACAGTTGCCGCATACTTACCTAGCCGGTCTTGAATGAATGCGAGGATTTTACCGGATCGTACTAGGTAGTACGCAGCTTGTGGGTTGGGCTCGTAGTAGGTGACTCCCTCGTCGTAAGAGGTGTAGTGATAGATGAGGTGTTGTTGGATCATCGCGGCGAGACCATGACGGAGCTGCCGGTCAGACAGGCGCGAATAGAATCTGAGACGAGGAAAAGACAATCGGTCATAACGCTGAAGAATTGAAAAGATGCGCTAGTCATATTGAAGGCAGAGTCAGTCTAACTCCGTCTTCTACAATTTTTTGGAGGGAGGTGGCTGTAAAATGTTGGGTGTATCGAAGGCGAACAAAGCAAAGGGTTGGGCTGTAAGCATACCGCAAAAAGCTCGCCAAAGTTGTCCTCAACCAAGAGCGCGCACAGCTCCGCTGCGTACTGTGTGAAACATCCGTCAGCACGAGGATAGAGCTACCAATGGAGCGTTGTCGCATACTTGAGAAGCCATGATTGATGGGGTTGTCTAGAGAACCACCGCCGTCAATTCTCCAGGACAAAAATCGAGGTCACCGGAGGAAGAGCATGAGGTACTTGTAAAGGGAGTATAAAGCCTTTCAGATTGTCCCTCTGGCGGGAGATGTTGCTTCCTACTTTTCTTTTTTTTTTCTTGACGATTGATTGGCGTTACTTCTTATCGCACGTCGCAGGCGGAAGAAACTCACGTGCCTGTCGTAATAAGAGAGAATCACATGACCTCAGCTGACTCGGAGAAGGAGGAAAAGCCGGTTCCGCCCGCACACCCAATTCGGACCAATCAGAGTGCGAGTAATCAACAACGCCGGCATCTTGAAGCTTTTCAGACATCGTTTCTAACCCGTTCAACGACCGCCAGCAGCTCTCCTCGGCTCTTCTACCTTCCCACCCCCTCCAATTGCTGTTGAGCCTCTCGGCTTTATATCTACCTTTCTCCCTTTGTCTCTTCTACACATGCGATAATGCTGTCGCGATCCACCATCAGCCGAAATGCGCCCCGTGCGCTTCAACAGCAGTGCTCTGCTGCTGGTGCCACCAGCCGTCGAGGCATGGCATCTGCCGCTACTCCTGGCCTCCAGTACGATGTTTCCGAGTCTGCTGGTGTGAAGGTCGCCAATAGAGAGGTTGCCGGTCCTACCGGCACCCTGGCCCTCGTTTCTAAGGCTGGTACTCGCTACCAGCCCTTCCCTGGCTTCTCCGATGCTCTCGAACAGTTCGCTTTCAAGGTTAGCACTCCCGGCTCAATCGCTCGTTCTACAGGTTTCAGGCACACCATCTTGGACATCACTAAACTAACTCTTGTTTGCAACGACCAGTCCACACTCAAACGCTCGGCGCTGCGGATCAATCGGGAGGTCGAACTGCTTGGCAGTGAGGTTTCTGCTACACACTCGCGTGAGAATGTTGTCCTCAAGGCTAAGTTCCTCGCCAATGACCTCCCTTACTTCGCTGAACTTTTGGCGGAGGTTGCTTCTCAGACCAAGTTCTCCGGTATGTCATCCCGCTAGGCTTCAATTTGTCGGTTAGACAAGTCTGATATATAGTTATTTTTCAAAAGCCCACGAGTTGAACGAGGTCATCCTCAAGACCCTCAAGTACAGACAACAAGCTCTTGCCGCCAACCCCGAGGCTGTTGCCATTGATGCTGCTCACGCCGTGGCTTTCCACCGCGGTCTGGGTGAGAGCATCACCCCCTCGGTCACCACTGCTTTCGAGAAGTACCTCTCTGCTGAGGCCGTCGCGGAATTCGCCCAGCAGGCGTTCGCTAAGTCCAACATTGCCATCGTCGGCAGTGGGCCCAACTCTGCGGAGGTTTCCAAGTGGGTTGGCCAGTTCTTCAAGGAGACCCCCAGCGCTGGTAGCTCCTCCAAGTACCAGCTCCAGCAGAGCGCCGCCTCCCAGTACTACGGTGGCGAGCAGCGCATCTCCTCCAAGGCTGGAAACGCTGTTGTTTTGGCTTTCCCCGGCTCTGGCGCTTTCGGCACCTCTGCCTACAAGCCCGAGGCTTCCGTTCTCGCCGCCCTCCTTGGCGGTGAGTCCACTATCAAGTGGACCCCTGGTTTCTCTCTTCTCGGCCAGGCCACCCAGGGCTTCTCCCAGGTCCGTGCCTCGACCAAGAACCTCGCCTACTCGGATGCCGGTCTATTCACCATTTCCCTCTCCGGCAAGGCCGAGCAGATCAGCTCCGCTGGTAAGAGCGCCGTCGATGTCCTGAAGAAGGCCGCTGCTGGCGAGTTCGCCAGCGAGGACGTCAAGAAGGCCGTTGCTCTGGCTAAGTTCCGTGCTCTTGAGTCCGCTCAGAACCTCGAGACTGGTCTCGAGGCTACTGGCTCCGCTCTCATCAACGGCAGCAAGCCCTACCAGATCTCCGAGGTCGCTCAGAGCATCGACGCCGTCACCGAGGCCCAGGTTAAGGAGGTATGTTCACTTTCCCAAACTTTCTTCCACATGGAACCACCTCACTGACCGCGTTATCTCACCCTTTAGGTTGCCAAGTCCTTCCTGTCCGGCAAGGCTTCCGTTACCGCCGTCGGCGACCTCTTCCAGCTTCCCTACGCCCAGGACCTTGGCTTGACCGTTTAATCATGTATACAACACATACAGCTTAGACTGGCTCTGCTTTTGGAGGAAAAGCGCGTCTTCCGTTTCCATTCATCTTGTGTTTAGATCAACCCTTCCGCAGATATCTTGTTTTTTTTTATTTGGGATGATGTGGCTGTAGTGGTGTGCGTCTGTAATACAATTGTATCTTATTCCTACGTTGCGTGCCTTGTGCGATGAGATCTTGGCCGTATGATTGCGTGTAGTCGATGGTATAGCTACGGATGAAGTTACCAGCTCTGCTTTGTAGCAACAGTCCACGAGTAGTGTAGATCTCACGCATATGTCACGCACACTATACTTCCGAGGTTCCCGCAAGCGCTGGGCTGACTATGAAGCTGGAAGTTGTGTCAATCTTCAGGATACCGGAAGATGAGAATCAATTTATCCTTGCCGGAGAACCTATCCGTGTTCTTCGGTTTGGTCCCAATTTGTTTGTGACCTGATGAGGTCAACCTTACTCAGCAGGGTAGGTGCGCCGGAGATTGTTCCGATTTCCAAAGAGGACTGAATAAGGTATGCTCGGGCATTTCCTCCTCATAGGTAGTCAGTACTCCTCCTTCCGTTTCTGCGTCTAAGGTCAAAGGCAATCGCTAGTTACAATCGGCGCTTTCCCGAGGTTCACAAGGACGAAAATCACCAAGTATATCTATCTCTAATACCTGTCATTCATAGGCTGTACCGAGCAAACTGACCATCTCAACACAGCAGAGAGCTGGTCTCAGTCCATGTCGGACATTCATAAGGCGTTTGGTATCGCGGGAGAAACCTTTCCAGGACACTCCGATTCCTTTGCAAATTGAAGCCTACCTGCCCACCTTGCGAGCATTTATGAGACAACCCGATATGTAGAGGATCTTTCGACGAGGTCTCAGGCAAAATGGCCAGTAAACCCATGTACGGCAACTGTAATCCGAGACAAAGAGTTGGTCTTAGCATACAGAAAGCAGGATAATTCATACAATTCGCGCCAAATACCGCATCTGCCAGTCTTGGCCAGCGAATCATCAACATGCGCAGGTCTATTAACACTAGTATAGTATAAAAAAAATGCTTGTAACATCGGTTGTGCGGCATGCTCAGCACATCGCTTTACCTCGCTTCCATCATCGGTTCGGTCTGAGAACAACGAACTGATCGGGCCAGCATGTGTTCCTGCCGCCTCCGACCGTATGCATGGCAGAAGGGTATCTCAAACCTTCCCTAGTGCTTTGCGGTGACAGCTTCGCCCGTCAGTTTTTCGACTGCCTCCTTGGCCCTGTTCGGTGCAACGGAGACCCACACGTTAGCCGGAAGTCTTCCCTCGGTAATACTGAAAAATCACATGGCGAGTCCGGGGTGCGCCGACCCAGGCGGGCTAGCCCACCCTGGTGGCATAGCTCATTCGATGGATGATTTCGAAGAATGCGAACAACCCGGAATTGCAAGGACAGAAAGGCGGGGAATGGGGTTCAACTTACATGTCACCCAGAGCCACCATGCAGACGGTCTGCCAGATTCCCAGCCCCACCCGAGGAGCCACACCACGGTAGAGACCCTTAATGCCGTTGTTTTCATAGATGTACTTGGCAGCCTTACCGACCGTCAGATTCTTTGGGCGGTTGGGATCGTCGGTCTTGCTCTGCATTTCGACACGGATCACCTCGATGGGCTGATTCCAAGCCGACAAACCACCACCCAGACTCGAGGCCAGAATCTTCTCGAAAGCGTTCAGCTTCTGGCTGTCATCCTTGTCGGTTACCTTGCGGATTGTCTGCTCCGCCAAGCGAGAGAACCCGAAACGGGAACCCCAGTTGGTGGTCTGGCGAATAGCGACCGCATTGACACCCCGGTTGATACCACGGATACCTTCCTTGCGGTAGATGTCCATGAAAGTCGCGAAGGTGCCGGGAGGCTTGACACCCTGCGCAGCCATCTTGTGTTTAGTAATCTCAACCGTCTTCATGCAGGTACAGAATCCCATTGTGGCATAGGCTTGAGCAATACCGCCAACCATACCACCGGCGATTCCGGCCACGAAATCGGGGGCACCTAGGACCTTGGCGCGGAACTCAGCTTCCGACGCGACAAAGAGCAGGACAGCGCCTTTGGTGGAGGCCTCAATCCAGGCCCACGGAATGAGACCTTGATAATCTATTGTAATTCCACGTTAGACGCGGCATCTGATACGCTAGTCGCGAGAAGTTCGAGGCGAGGGAAACTTACAACCGAGGATCCCGCCACGACCCCAAATCCGACCCATAGCACCGGCGAAGCTATCGCCTCGGTTTGCGGCCATGGTTGTCTTGATCACCTCCAGCGGCTAAATTTGTGACTCGTGTCAGTTTAAACGACACTCGCCGGCCTGCGGCTTCACGACAGTAGGGAACTCATACCTGTCCCAAGGTGGTGACCCTATTGCTGGCTGTTAGTCATCCGGAATTCTGGGTGACGGTGTCACGGAGGATGTAATACGTACTCGAACAAGTTCAAACCTGCACCGACTGTAGACAGAGCCGTCAGAATCAGGGACGTTTGCCCGGAGAGACGAATGAGGGCCAGAATACGTACGCAATAGATTGCTGAATTTGACAGGCTTCTTCTCAAGCGTTTGGCCGGCAGGGGCCGTTGCAACAGGAGCGGGAGACATCTCTGAACTTGGGGAGCGCTGAAAGGGGCCCTGACCAAGGGATATAAGGGGCTTCGTCGCCTAAAGGATCGCAAAAGATGGCAGAGAAACTGCAGATGGGAATGTCCAGTCACAGATAGATGGACTTATTGATTTGGTCGCTGTTGAACACCACGAAAGGTCCGGAAGGTTAGTCACCGGAGGATACTGATTGATGGGAGGTAAAGAGAAGGAAACAGGAACAGGAATAATGCAAGCAAGCTAGAACGGGGGGCCGGGGGTGGGTGGAAAGCGGAAAGAAAGCAGGGTGGCAGAAGGAAGAGGAGGAGGATGGGAAAGCATGATGTCGGTCTGGGGGGGGGGGGGTGGTGGGCTTGCAGCTGAGTATTTGCTTATCAAGGTCCAGACAGTCCATAGCCAGCCAGCTATATCTAGCTAACTAGATAGATAGATGATGGATGAATGAGAAGGTGATGTTTGACACGTACTATAATAGTAACTTGAAGTGGCGGGTAGACCAAAGTTGAAAGTTCTTTTTGTTCAGGGTTCCTAGCTAGAAGACAAGAAAGAGAAGACGAAGAAAGTTGTTGTTGTTATGTATTTTTTTCCCTTTCAGTAGAGAGAGTCAAGAGAACGATCCGTACCAAGGAGTACCCCGTAGTAATGAGCACACATAGCCAGGAGCTCGGAGTCAGACTCGTCTTCCCGATCGCTGGGCAGCGGCTGGAAGGAGCCAAACACCCCGGAGGACCCGGTCACTTGCGGGTCATTGGCTCATCATCATGGATCAATAATGCTGCTAGCCAGATCAAGGTAAACCCATACGCTAGCCTTGAAGGGAGTCTCCAGCAGTTGAGCACCGGAGTAAATCGGGGCGCTGAGTACCTCAACCGTTGGGAGGGGAATTCAGCCCCGGCTGCGGGTTCAACTCGCTTCTTCCCGTTTCGGTCCCCGGAGTAATGCACTCAATGCACTGGGCACCACCACCTTGCCTACCGGTAGTCTAGTAGTACGTACTGTACTGTACAACCCTGGGCCAGACCTCCAGGCTCAGTCAGGCTCAGGGCTGGTGGTTTCCACTTCCATTTTCATTTTCTTGACCATCCCGAGTTCTGTCTTCCTTTCCCGGAGTACTCCGTCCAGAGTCAATCCCATTTAAAGAGGCACATCCTTTGCCGCGGGTCATAATGGATAAGAGAATGTCTACTTCACCTTCAGTCTACTTGGGTGGATAGAGCCCACTCCAACTTGACAACGCATGTACAACATGGCACGCAGATTAGATTACGAGAGTGAGAGATGGCGGGTTGGAAAGAAAAAAGAAAGAAAGAAAGCCCAGAAGGCAACCAGAACGTCTGGGAATTGACTGATCATTTCAAAAGTGTTGTTACTAGGCTCGCTCGAACCGTGTCCTATCATACATTAATCGAGCCAACCCCAACACTTGGCGGATCCCAGGCAGAAAGAGAAAAAGAGGGATAATCAAAGAACAAGATAGGCATAATACAAAGTATAAAGTGTTTATTCGTAACAAAAACTCCACATCCGCCGGGGGGGGTTCATATCATTGACAAATCTACAGCTTAGCACCGACGAGCTTGGCGTAGGCCTCAGTGCTGAAACTCTTGGGGCGCTCGATGGGGGCACCGAGAGCACGATCAATGATCAGCTGGGGCAAGACACCCAGAGCACGGGAGACACCGAAGAGAACGGTGTAGTAGTTGGCCTCAGTCAGGCCGTAGTACTGGAGGAGGACACCGGAGTGCTAGAGACGAGTTAGTATATCGATCCCGCGAGATAGATCCCAGGAAGCTCCGCAGCGCTAAACTTACAGCATCGACGTTGGGGTAGGGGTTCTTGGTCTTGCCGTGTTCAGTCAGAACACCAGGAGCGATCTTGTAGACCTGGCTGACCAGCTTGAACATGGGGTCATCGGGGAGCTTGCGAAGAGCAAACTCGCGCTGAGACACGTAGCGAGGGTCGGTCTTACGGAGAACAGCGTGACCGTAGCCAGGGACGACCTGACCGGCGTTCAAGGTAGACCAGAGGTAATCCTTGATAGCCTTGTCGCTGAGGTCGTTGCCAATGGCAGCCTTCATCTTGGTGAGCCAGTTGAGCACTTCCTGGTTGGCCCTGTGTACAGTATCGCCGTGTTAGTGAGGCATTTGAGGACTGGGAGTTGAGAAGGGGGGAAGCAAGATCTTACAATCCGTGGAGGGGACCAGCCAAACCGTTCAGACCGGCAGCCAAGGAAAGCATGGGGGAGCTGAGAGCACTACCAACAAGGTGGGTGGTGTGGGCGCTAACGTTACCACCCTCGTGGTCGGAGTGGATGGTCAGGTAGAGGCGCATCAACTCAACAAAATCCTTGTTGTCGCCATAACCGAGCTGGTTGGCCAAGTTGAAGGAGTAATCCTTGTCCTTCTGGATGGCAGCGACCTTGCCATCCTTGAAGACATTGCGGTAGATCTTGGCAGCGATGGTGGGAAGCTTAGCAATGAGGTCCATGGAGTCCTCGAAAGTGTAGTTCCAGTAGTCCTTCTTGTTGAGACCCTTGGCATAAGCCTTGGCGAAAGCAGACTCGTGCTCAAGAGCGGTCACGGCCAGGGAAAACTGAGCCATGGGGTGCAGAGTGCTGGGGCAGCGGTCGATCAACTCCTCAATAAACTTAGGGAGGTCGGAACGAGCAGCCCACTCAGCAGAAAGGTCGCGGACCTGCTGCTCAGTAGGGATCTCGCCGGTGAGGAGGAGCCAGAAAAGACCTTGAGTAACCGTCAGGGCGGATGGCCATGGTCAGTTCTGACAAGAGAATGCTTACCTTCAGGGAGAGGCTCCTGACCGCCGGGGGCCTTGGGGAGAAGTTCCTGGCACTCAGGAATCTAGCAGATTGTAAGCATTTGCCCGAGGCCGCGATGAGAACCAGATTAAACTCACAGTGCGACCACGGAAACGGATACCCTCCTCGGAGTCGAGAACAGATCCCTGAACAAGTGTATTAGCCAGGTCCTACCAGTAGGATGTCGTTTACGTGTAGACTACTAACCTCCCAAACAAGGGACTTGACACCACGAGCACCACCGTAGACCTGATCAAGGGTGACCTCGCCGATGACCTTGCTGCCGTGCTCCCTATAGCAATGGACCAAAGGTGATTAGCAATCGTACCGAGCGAAGGGTAATCGAGTTGGTCGTACTTGCGAAGCTTCTTGACTTTCTCGATCTCAGCGGGGAGCTTCTCAGCGAAAGTCTCCTTCAGGGACTAGAAGGCGTATACCAATCAGTACAGCTGAGCATGGAAGCAGCGGATGTCAGAAGCGCGACAGACCTTGGCCTTGCCGGTAGAGTAGCAGCGCAAGCCGTTGAAGGCAGCGGACTGAACAACAGGCTTAGCAGCCATGCCGCTGGAGCGAAGAGCAGAGGTTCCAAGTCTCAAGGTGGAAGCCATTGTGAGAAGAACAACTTGATCACGAGTTAAAGGGTAATAATGTAGGAGAGGAGAGGGAAAGGGAGGGGGTATAATTCACACAGCGGTAGAGAGAAGAAAAAGGAAGAGAAGGAGATAGAGAGACAGAGTCGGGAGAAGAAGCTCTTTTGCGGGCCTTTTTTTCCATCTGGCCGTAACACTCCTACAGCCGGTACGCGGATTGTACGGTAACACCCGGCAACAGAGCAAGGCAGAAGGAGAAGTGGACCGTACCATACGGTTACGCTAGTTTTGAGGCGGCCGGTGTCCCGAGTTTGGGGCTTGGGGGAATGGGCGCGGTTGACTGCGGCAAGCTTACCAAAATGGATGTTCTGTTTGTACTCCGTTGTCCGGGCGGACTAAGGACGGAGAATACTAGGTAAGTAGGTTGAATTCTTACCCAGTCTGTTTTGATCATACATCATGGTTTGAACATTGTTAAGTAACTACGTACTGTACGTACTAATTCAGCCCTCAGGTAACTCACGGCAAGAGGATTTTTATCAGGGTTGCTTGATCATTATAGGGTACATAGTGAAATTACTTGAATAATATTCAGAAAGAATTCAACACATCCAAGTCCTCTTTCATTCATGGAACTTACTTTGACTAAATTCCCGTGGGATTCGGAGTGTATTCAATCTTTTTTTTTCTTTTCCGACGATCTTCGGCACCCGGTCCATCCGTAAACGGAGTGCCTACAAATGGAGCTGGTGTGGTGGTGGCCCTGGCCCATTACACCCCCCCTCGCTGTGACGTCGGCAGTCGCAATCCTCCTATAGCACAGACTAATAGACTAATAGGCCGCCCAAGCTTCACAGTGAACGGAGTTCCCCATTCTTTTTTCTCACCCTGAAGTACTGTACTATCAATAGTGTGGAAGGAATACTACCTAATGCACGCACCTTCTCTCCCCGTGCATTCATGATGGCTTTAGGACGTAAGACCGAGGCATGAAACAGACACATCGATACCAATGGATCTCATGCATATACTACTGCACAGTACAGTCCTTTACCTTGCAGGTCCATACTAGATACTTGTACTGTAGTATTAAACAATCACCAACAAGAATACAAAGACTATTCGTAGCTGTTCTAAGAGCGTGTCATGGAGGACTTGTTTTCAAGTTTTTAACTTTACTTTGACTTTACTGCTCTATTGTTCTTCTCATGATCATGATCACGATCACCTGGAGGGTCAATTCAATCTCATCCCAAACTTATTTGGACGGTGACGGCAGCCACATGCCTCAGGGCATGTTACCAGATTCGACTCACCGAGGCTCCAAGCAAAGTTGAGACGCAGTTTCAGCTGCTAGCTATGCCAAGCAGGGAAGGGGGGAAGGTCTTCACGTGACGGGGTTGAGGCTTTGTTTGAGCCTGAAGGATAAGGCATTCTGTCTATGCACAGCCATTCACGGGTATCTCATCCTGCCGGGTGCTCCATATGTGTTACCCAATAGAGACTAGCCTAAGCGGTCTGATTTTTCTCCTCACCCGACCGACCATTGCAAATTGAATCTCCTTCCATCCCTATTCTTATTCCAAGTTTCTGAACAACCATCTCCTTCGCATCCATCCTTTCTCTCTCTTTCTTTCATCGTCATTTTCATCACTCGTCGCAGTATTCAGACACTGTAATCCTCGTCACAGTCTCAGAAACGGTTTCCAGTCGACCTAGCACTCTAGGGTATACTGTGTACACACTCGTTCGCGAGTCGCAAGTCCCTGGACAGCATCGCTTGGCCGTGTTCCAGCTGTAGGCGGAAGGCCTTCCCTTGGTCGCCAGAGTACGCTTTTTGAAGTCTGTAGTGACACGACCTGAAGTCCGCTTAGGAAACCACTTATTACTCTCCTCCCAGGAGCCCACCATTCTACCAGGTCACTGGTAATCCCCATTTAAAACATCACAAGATTTTTAACTACAGCTGGAATTCCCAGTAGACCGATTGGCTGGAAACACAGTGCGATTATCGCCTCCCTGTACGAAGTCCAACGCTGCATTTTGAAGAAAGCGATAGTTTTTCCAAAAAGAAGTCTTTTGGCTGTATCCTGTTCTCTGCGTACTGGGCTCGGAATATCAGCACTCCATACCCACCAGCCATGTCGTCTGCTGTAGCAGAACTGGATAACTATCTCCAGTCGATGCTGGCACTCAAGCCACCGGGCGTTTCAGGATCCAAGATCAACAGTATCACATCGCTCTGCACGGCAAACGTCCAGGTATGTCACCCTCCATACGTGGTATCTTGCTCGGATCGGAGGCTAACATCTCTCATTTGTACACTCCCACAGAATGAATCCGTCCTCATCCAAAAGATCTACACCCATTTCAAGAAAGCACCAGGAACACACAAGTTGGGCGTACTCTATGTCGTAGACTCTGTAACTCGACAGTGGGTAGAACAAGCGCGCAAGGCAGGGCAACCATCTGGTAGTGCTGCCCCTGATGGGACCTTCGCCGCCGGTGTTAACAGAGTGACCGAGCTGCTTCCTATCCTGATGACTGATATCATAAGCAACGCTCCCGACGATCAAAAGGTACGCTCTAGATGCTATATGCAAACCATAATCAAAACCATCACAGGGCCGCAGGCAAGCATAGGGCCGATAGGATGCAGTCTTCTGCCTAGGAGACCGCATGCAGATCTGCTTGAGAATCGATCAACGTATCTCCTGTATATTCCTCGACCATCATGGCATAAAGTCCTAGGCCACTATGCTTGCCCGGTCTCGCTGGCTCAGCCTTCCTTTCCTCTTTACATCATTTCCCGGTGATGAACAGTCCAACTCACGTATTTGCTTCGTTCAATATAGGAAAAGATAAAGAAGCTGGTCGACATATGGGAACGCGGATATACCTTTCCTGCCCCTATGCTTGCTTCATTCAAGGAAAAGCTTAACGCACCTTCATCGCAAAGTAAGACTATCCAAAGCCTTTCTCTTTCCATCCCAGGCCACTCTGCCTCGGGAGTGCTAGTCTTTTCGCCCAAGGTTCCTGCTGAGACTCATCGGCTAACTTCCGCTCACTTTTGTGTCACTCTTTAGATGTCGAATCTACCACTCCCGAAGGCTCCCCAGCACCCAACTACCTCTCTTTGGGAGGTGCTCCTCAGCCTACCAATGGCACGATCTCATCCACTCCTGCTCAGCAGGCGCCCGACACTTCCAGCATTTTGAAGGCTCTGGCGGATATGGCTAAACAGAACACTGCGGCACCTGCTGCACCAGCAGTCGCGGCGCCCGCCAACCCTCTCAATGCCTTAGGCCAGCCAGGTACGGTTCTGCAGACCATGCCGTCCTCTGTAGACCAGGCGTCACAACCCTCAAACGGGCAGGCTGGTGTAAACCCTTACGCTCCTGGTGCCATGGTCACCCCCTTCACGACTCTGGGTAATCTTGCCCAGAACCCAGCCTTAGTGCCCCCTCAGAACCCAAGTCAGAGCCACACTCCCAATCCCTTGGCGGCGGCGCAAAACCCGCTAGCCGCGCTATTGCCGCAGTCGACTGCAGCGCCAACTCAACCGAATTCGCTAGGACCAGATGCACTGCAGCAGCAGCTTCAGCTCTTGCAGCTCCTGTATGCCCAAGGTATTCCGCAAGAACAGTGGGGCACCGCCCTGCAGATTCTGAGCCTTTCGAATGCCTCCGGTATGGGCACGATGAACCCGGGCCAGGCTCCTCCGTCGTTTAATCTTGCAGCAGGCCAAAACATTGGTGCTTGGGGCGCTCGCCCGGACTCCCAATCACGTGAGTACGATCGGGATCGGGACCGCGATTACATGCGGTCGCCGCCAAGCCAGTATGGTCGTCGTCGGTCGCACTCTCCAGGCTATGACCGTCGCCGGGAGGCCTCTCCCCCTCGTCGTCGTGACAGCCCTGTTTACGGGGAATATCACGGTGATTCTCCTGGCCGTCGGGGCGGTGATCCTCGTGGTCGACGCAGCAATGAATATCGCCAGCGCAGTCCTCCTGGCCGCAGACGCCGTTCTCCCTCCCCTGCTCGCAAAGATCCTGCTCTGCCCCCTCCTGGGCCTAAGTTCATGGAGTGGGATTACTCTATTGGTCAGGGCAACATCAAAGGTTTGTTTCCATCATGTTCCTTCTTGCGCTCAATTGGGCCATGCTAATATTTGCCTGCGTAGTCTTGAGTCGAACCCTCTTCGTGGGCGGTGTCACGTAAGTCCTCGTCGATATTATTGTTGCAGATTCTTGGCATTGGAAGCTCACCAGTCAATAGCTCATCCGAAGCTCATCTTCGTTCTTTGTTCAGCAAGTTTGGTGTGGTCCAGACTTGCATTGTCAACATTGATAAGCGCCATGCTTTCATAAAAATGATAAGTCGCCAAGATGCTGTGAATGCCCGGGATGGAATGGAATCATACAAGTCTGGTGACATGCAACTCAGAGTAAGTGCTCTCATTGTTATACAAGTGACCTGGCGTTTCCTGGCATGTTTTCTAATCATCGTTTCTCAGACTCGCTGGGGTGTCGGATTCGGACCCCGTGATTGCAGCGACTATCAGACCGGCATTAGTGTGATTCCCGTCGACCGACTAACCGAGGCGGATCGCAAATGGATGCTCACCGCAGAATATGGTGGCACAGGTGGGAGGCCAATTGAGTCTGGCATGGTCGTAGAGGAGCCGGACATTGAAATCGGTGCTGGCGTTTCCTCCAAGGGTATGTCCCTACTCACTTCCGTATTATTCCCCTTCCGATCTTGACTAACCTCCCCGATAGCGATCAGCAGAAGAATTGCCACCGATACTGGCGGCAAACGCGGCCCAGTCTCCTCCCGCGGGCAGCAGGATCGATTCCGACGTCCAGACCGTGAAGGACCTCCCGCTGGAATGGGTGCTGGCCCTGTTCCAGACCGAGATGTCAACAATGCTAACAATGTCGGCGTTCCTCCTGCGGTGCCTGGCTTCGGTTTCTCCTTCCCCACGATGGGCATGTTCCCGCCCGGTTTCATGATGGGAGGACCACAAGCTGGACCGTCCGGTGGTGGCTCAGCACAACCTCCCCCTCCAGGTCAATGAGGCAATTAATTCTCTTGCACAATGTCGAGAAGAATGGCAGTGACTGCAGTCATGATGACATATTTCCCGCCGGCCGTCTCATTCCACTCTTGTTTTGATACCAGTGCTTTTTTTTCACCTGTTTTCCATATTCCATCTTCACTTGGCTTTGTCTTGTACAATCAAAACGGCGTAGGAGCTTTTTCCATTTCGTTCATCAAAATCGGGGCTTGAAGCCACTTCCACTTGTCTCATGGATCTCATGGATAATTTGTTGAGACCAGCCATTCATAATCTGAGATATCACACTCGATTGGTTTTCGTATCTCAAATGCAGAGCCTCGCCAATCCAGAGCTCTTAACGGGAATTAAACCCTCGCTGTCACTATAGCATCTTCTAGGCTTCACCCTCAGCTTCTGTCATTGTGATTCTATTTTCCCGACTGTTTCTCGCATTTTCTTGTTGTCATATTCATCTGGATCAGACGGTTGGGGTTTGGTGGTTGTTGTGTGCCTCGCACCATTTCTGTTCTGTTCTTGACTATCATTTTTCTCCCTCAGCACCAACCTTTTTCCCCTTCTGCGTCATGCGAATGCTTATTCTTCTGAACTAGGCCTACACAACCGGGTCAATGAATCATTCATAATGTATCGTGCAGAATTAAGCTCATAGATACATCTGCTCATTACGTAGCAAGCAGCAATAATCAAACTACAAGGTCCCATGCTCCTAGGAGCAGACACGTGTGCCTTGCCACTTCTCCATACATGAAACTGTTCAATTGGGCAACTAAATTGGGGTCTCATAACAGTCACATGTCGCGCTGGAGAGCTTTGAGCCGCAAAGACATCAGTGCGGTGCCATTTGAGCTGACCCAAAGCCAGTATCCCTCCCAGTAGATAGCCTTCTTCCCTTGCTAGTTCATCGAAGTCACGATACCCTCGCTCACAGCGCACTCGCAGCCTTGAAAGACTGCTCAAAATCCGCGATGATGTCGTCAATGTGCTCCGTACCAACAGAAATTCGGATGGCGTCTTCCGTGACCCCAGAGTCAATCCGCTCCTGCTCAGTAAGCTGTTCGTGAGTTGTCGACCAGGGATGAATAGCGAGGGTCTTTGAGTCCCCAACACTATTAACGCTTGATCAGCCTAAGCTCTCTTTGCAGGCTCAAGGACACGAAAGACTTACTTTGCAAGGTTGGATATCAACTTGAAGCCGTCGACCACCTGAATACCAGCCGCAGCACCCCCCTTGACACCGAATGAAAGAACACCGCCAAATCCTCGGGGCAGGTAACGTTTGGCGATTCCATGGCTAGCGTGGTCATCGAGGCCCGGATAAGAGACCCAGCTTACGTTTTCGTTCTTTTTAAGCCATTTAGCCAGAGTGATGGCATTGGTTGCATGCCTTTCGCTACGCAAGCTGAGGGTTTCAATCCCAAGGAGAAGCTGCTGCGCAGCGAACGGATTCAGGGCTGGGCCAAGATCACGGAGGATCTCCACCCGTACACGAATGGCAAAAGCAATATTGCCAAAAGTCTCCCAAAACTTCAGGCCATGGTAGCCTTCGGAGGGCTCCACGAACTGAGGGAACCGCGCAGCATGCTTGCCCCAGTCAAACTTACCACTATCAACAACAACACCTGCAATAGTAGTACCGTGGCCACCGATCCACTTAGTGGCACTGTGTACAACGATGTCTGCGCCGTGCTCAATAGGACGACAGTAATAGCCGCCAGCCCCGAAAGTGTTGTCCACCTACATCTCCTCTGTTATCATAGTAGATTCAATATCTTGACTTGAGGTGACCCTTACCACTAGTGGAACGCCCTTCTCATGGGCTACCTTCGCAATAGCTTCAAAGTCTGGTACATTGTAGCGTGGGTTGCCGATGGTTTCAACATAAACAGCCTTGGTCCGATCATCGATGGCTGCAGCAATTGCCTCCGGGGTGTCCCCTTGAATGAATTTGGTATGGATGCCTAGGCGTGGAAAGAGGACTTTGAACTGATTGTACGTGCCACCATACAAATTGCTGGTTGCTACAATGTTATCACCTGCATGGGCAAGGGCTGCAATAGTCATGAATTGTGCTGCCTGGCCAGATGCGGCCGCCACGGCTGCAACGCCACCTTCAAGAGCTGCAATTCGCTTCTCGAAGACATCAACCGTGGGCTGAGAAGGGCGGCGTAGCCATCAGTCAAGACCTCATCCGTTCTTAACGGCTTGGGGGGGGGGGGGGGAACCAACTACTTACGTTCATTATCCGGCTATAGATGTTGCCAAGCTCCTTGAGACCAAATAGCCGAGCTCCATGTGCAGAATCATTGAATGAATATGACTGTTGATGCTCCGTCAGGACTGAATTTAAGAAGTAATGATATACGGGCATTAAGCAGCTCGACTCACCGTGGTCGCGTAAATCGGCACCGCACGAGCTTTGGTGGTAGGATCTGGCTCTTGACTAGCACATACACCATCAGTCTCCTTTCAAGTCCAATAGGCTGTTGGTCTTGGGTAGAGATGGAGTTTATATGGTACCCTGCATGGAGCTGGAGAGTCTCGAAGTGCGGCCGCTTTGATTCCGACATAGTGACCGGGATATGATCTATTGTACAGTTCCGAAAAGTTGTGAGAGGAAAAGGTAGTTTAGCCAACCTTGAAAAATGAGGGGCAAGTAAAGTGATATAGAATGTTCTCCTTGCTGAGATGATTATCATTAGCCTAGGTTCAACATCACCGATCGCCTTGATGGTATAGTTGACGATAGCGATGGCGTGATCGGAATAGAGTACAGCAAGGCGGGGGAAAACGAGATCGACCCACGTACAGTAGACTACAATGTGTCCTGGGTACAAAGAAGACTAAGAAGACTAAGGCCCCTCTCGCATTGACAAGAATTCTGGGGTCTGGGAACCTTAAAGAAGGCACGACTACGAAACCCTCTTGAGGGATGGATGATGCGCGGAGGATAGCCATTTTTCAAGCTTCAAGATGAATTGATGTCGGTGATGTACAGCAGGACATAGGGGATAGCTGATACTATGTACTAATATTTACCTTTCGATCAAAACTTAACATTAAGTTTATCCAAGTATATGTAACAGGAAGGGAGTAAACCTGGGGTGTAAGGGTATACTGTGCTGTGCTTTATATTAGGTACAATGTATAGTATATCAGATATCCTATGTTACTGTATAATATAGTATAGTTATACTAATCGACTACAAATAGCTTGAATAACTTTAGGCAACCACATGCTATGGTGGCTGTTTTGAGGCTTGGACAGTCAACTGGTGTGGTCATGTGCCCGGCATATGTGGAAGGAAATGAGGTCATTGTCTGTTCAATCATGGCTGGATGGATTGTTTCTTGGCCCGCCTCCCTGTCCATTGCCGTCATTAAACCCCAACTTACCAACCCTTGTAGGCTCCGTCTTTCCTTTTTCTTGTTCTTTTTACTTATATTTTCATTTTTAATTCCATCCTTTTCCCCTTTACCATAATCTTTACCAGTCAGGGTCGACCAATCCAAGGCGAGGATGATGACGATGATGTCAATGCGGTAAGGAGATCCGCTACTCACAATCCCCACCGCCCTCGAAAGAAGAAAAGAGAAAATAAGAAGAAACACGTAGGACTGCAGGCTCCAGGGCTTTGGGTGTATATAGCAGACAGGTAGCCATGAAAGTACCTATCGAGTGCATCACAGCACCAACACCCAATCCAAGTGCTTCTTGGCGGACCTGGCCGATGATTTGCTGCGTAATTTATATTTAGTTGTCAAGCCACTTGTGCAACCGCACTGATTTGGAACCACTGTATCTGCAGGCATACAAAACTCCCCTCATCGTCTGCTACCTTTCTTATCCATCAGCATAACTGCATCGACCCCCAGCTGTCTCTATCAGCGCTTGCTATATCAGACCAGTGGCTATAATAAACAAGCACACGCGATATATCTTCACAAGACGCTGACCCTAGACAACTTCACCCACCAAGCAACTTGATAGATAAACTACAACATCGACCATGGCGGCAAATGTCCCTTGGATTCTACCTGTTCGAGCTGCTCAAGTCATCTTTGCTATCATCGTTCTTGGGTTAACAGCATACTGTTGGTTCATCTCCACCTCACAGCAATTGTTCGTCTCTGACAGGTAACAGACATCAGTTGGTATAGCTACAGTGACACCGTGAATTTCATGCTTTTCAACGGCATATGGACAGCTTTCGTGGCCGCACCTTACCTTGCCTTCGCACCAATGTACTTTCCACGGGTCGCCCATATACTAATCATGGTGGCTGTCGAAGTAGTCACCATGATCTTCTGGTTCGCAGGGTTCATCGCCCTGGGTGTCTACCTGCCACCATCAGAATTTTGTCACTGGAGTAGATGTCGGGCACTGCAGGCTGCAACCGTGTTTGGGGCATTTGAATGGTAGGTGGACACCGTTCTCGACGACTGCGATACCACGGACGAGGGTCGAATAAGAAATTGATGGAACCTGCTCACAATCGCATTCTTTAGGGCACTCTTCGTCGCCACCACTGTAGTAGCTACGCGCGAGGCAATGCGATCAAGATCCAACAGTGCGAGTACGAAGCCTGGCCCGTATGCTTCTGGCCCTGTCAATGTGTGAACAACGAAAGCGGGGATCGACCAATTCACGTCTTAGCGAGGGCCTCATTTGTGGCTCGCCAAGACTATTGATGCCACCCAGATACTACGGACAGGACGATTGATGACGATATGAATCATAGTGCTCATAGTTGAGAAGGGGAAGGAATAATGATTTAAGGGCAGCTACGTGGCGTTCATGTGCTGGAATTTGTATATTAAACTAAGTAGCAAGATACCCATGTCTAAAATCAACTGAAGTCTTATCATTTCGGCCTTGACTCGTGTTTGAATTCGTGGTTATGGCAAGACCAACAAGCTTGTTTCCAATGACACTGATTTTGCAACTGACATAACTCAAGTTACACATACATAGTTTAGTCATAGCCTGGATGTGGATTTGAGCTTCGTCGTATCAATCGCTCTCGTAGCAAACGCAAATTAGGGTTGTTTATCCGCCAAACTATGCACGTTTCATTACGTTGAGGTGGATAATCAATCCAATCTTGATGATGACCCACTGAGGGGGAAAGTTTAAAACCGTCTCTATTATCTAGATGTACTATGTGCTGTAGTTGATGCATGTCAGATATAGGAAGCCTCTTCCGGAAGTGACAGTGTGATCATGACCTGCAACCACGGAGGCGCAATCTGAGGGATAAGTCTTTGGATTGGCAAGGAGGCGTCGCGGATATCAAAGGAGATGGGCATGGAAGATAAACTATCAGACTCAACGAGGCACGTATCCAGAGGTGGGAGTGCCTGTGAGGGCAAATGACTGCAGCGGAGAAACCTACACGCACTTGAACTACATATGTAGTACTTAGAGATTGACTATGAGGTCAAGTGGCAAGTACGAGTACTCGAGTAAGTTCACTTAGAGAGTACATATATATGTACTCTAAGTCTCTAATAGGTAGTCGTACTCGGTAAGTTACTACATGAGTGTCTCCAGTACACCTGGTTTTGTGCTAAGCAAGCTTTCTGTATTATAGGTACAGTACTCCGCACTACGTACCACATTGACTTATCACTCGTACCCTAATTTATCACTTATCATGTTTTTATAAATAATAATCACTTTACTAGGCAACCAAGTAAAGACCAAGCAAAAGTTCCCATAGGGCTGGCTGGGCTGGGCGCTGCCGACCATGCATCGGTCCGCTCTCCGGCGATAGTCTGGTACGTACTGTACTGTACATACCTACGGAGTAGTCGTAGTAAGTATGTAAGGCGGTAAGAGCCAAAGGTCCTCCGTCACTTCTCCGTTCTCCGTTCTCCGTCCTTTCCGTCCGTGGGTACTCAATACATCATGCAACAGCTGCGTCGCTTGACTTGGTCTGTCTTTCATCGAATGTAACCCAGATGGCCATTACACCTTCTGATACGTTTCTTGAAGCAAGCGTCCTGATGTCGACTTTCAAATCGGTCGGACATTTAAATATGTACTGTACGAGTAACACTATTGGCTTCTCTCTCTTGCAGCCCTTTTCCCACCTTTCCCGCCCGCTCCCTCGGGCCGATGACGGAAAAAGCCAGTGGCAACGCTGCAACAGCCGGTAAGCTTTACGAGAGAACAAGAAGAAAAAATTCTGTCTCAAGCTGGCGATTATCTTTTCTAGGGCCCACTACAGTGGAGCGGCATAGTTGCCGAGATAGGGTTTCCATTCGTTGCCTGGGGACAGCCAGCGGTGCTCTATAGGACCATCAACCATGGATGGAGAAGCTGGAGGATCCTCTAGTGCGGTAAAGTGGCACCTCTTTTCCACGCGCCTCTTTCCCTCGTGCCTCTTCCAGTCCCAGTCGACTACCCCTGCATTCTGCGCCCAAGTTCTAGACAGACGCAAAAAAGCTTCCCCGGGTGTTGGTGGTGGCCAAGGACTGTCCAAGACCTCCAAGATGGATTTTCTCGGGGTAAGCCCAGGTCGAATGGTCGACGCAACGAATTGAGTACGTATCTGTGGTCGTTTCTATTAGTGATACGTGCCTGTCATTGCCTCCTCTCATCGTGCAGAGTGCAGGTGGTGGATAGAGGCGGGAGACTCAACTCTTTTGCCCCCGGGGTTGCATCCGCTGCTGGACAACCCTAACCTATTCCTTTTACATAACATCTTCTGGTTCCGCGAAACACAATTCGATTATGTTCGCTATCTCGGCCAAAGTCGTCAATACGTACCGTACCTGGTCTCTGGCCGATTGGGGCCCTGAGGGGTTGTTTTGATTTCATCTTAGCGTCTGTGGATTTTCTTCGGTGTGGTCCGACAACTGAGGAGCCACCGTTAAAATCTGCTGGATCGACCCAGCCTTGAAGTGACTCAATCAAATCAAACCTGTCTTCCCCCCGGTGGAGTCTGTTTCGGTGGCCGCCAGTTCATTTTTCTCCTCTTCTTCCTGCCAACTCCGAACCTAGTCTCATTTTTGCCTTTCGCGTGGTCTTCTCTACTCATCTGACCGACTGACAACCTCGCCGGCCTGCCCACCACCAAGCAAGGCACGAGCAAATTTCCACTACCGGACCGTCGAGGGGTCGAACATGGCCTTCGGGAACGAGCTCGACATCACGTCCAAGTCCGCCGAAGGGGGAAAGGGAAAAATGATGCCTGGCGAGGAAACGGTCCAAGTTCACACAACGAACCCTTCGCCGGACCTGAATGACTTCGATTGCGAGAAGCATGGCGCCAACAGCGAGTCCAACCCGTTGCCCCAGCTCAAGCGGAAGCTGAGAAGTCGGCATTTGCAGATGATCGCTATCGGTTAGTGAACTTTGTTGGTTCTTTCCCCGAACCTTGGAATTATCTTGCCTCTTTTCTCCCTGCGCAGCATACATGCCACCCACGAGAAGTGCTTAAGCATAGACTAATCCCAACTCTAGGAGGCACCATCGGCACAGGTCTCTTCATCGGTAGTGGTACTGCTGTTGCCAATGGCGGGCCCGTGGGCGCCTTAATCGCTTATGCCTTCGTCGGAACCATCGTCTATTCGGTCATGACGTCTCTAGGAGAAATCGCAACCTACATTCCCATTCCGGGCGCCTTTACAGCTTATGCTGCTCGCTTGGTTGACCCCAGTCTCGGCTTCGCTATGGGTTGGATATATTGGTTTTCGTGGGCCTCGACATACGCGCTTGAACTCACAGCCACAGGGCTTATAATTCAAT